TTGTAAGATGATGCAGTTACAAATTGCTACCTTGATCTCAGGAACAAGACAGAAAATTATGAGAAAATTATTTAAAATCCTAACAAAAATAAACATTATTTCTGTTTTTTCCATGTGTACTACAAGAATAGCAGTTACAAAAAACTGTTTATTAAAATATGAATACACAGAGGTCAATTGAGGAAGTTCAAATATGTCTAAAAGAAAGCAAATCGAGGATAATGGACTAAGGAAATTTCTGGAAGGGTCTTCAAGTTTCCAATTTCCTGTTGGCTCTTTGTCTGGGTCTGACTTCAATGAAATCCGATTTTAATGACTATTTCCTTTTAACTTTCTGCGTATATCATAAAAGTCTAACATCTGTTGTACCACAATGTTTATATTTAAATGCAGGAAACTTCTCACTCCTTCACCAACATAATATCATGCAGTCTATTGGCAATTACAGCAATCAGCTGAGTATGCATTCATACTTTCCTTTTAGTGCCATAGGGAGATACAGTCTAAAAGATCAATTTACAGTGCCAAAGTTATTAAAACTATTACTATTTTTATTAAAATTTTCCTACTTTGAGGTATAGTAGTATACACACACATTATATATATATATATATATATGTTAAGAAATGGACAAGGTCCGACAATTTATTTATTAAAGACATTTTTTATGTTTAACGTTGTTATTTCATAGATACAAGTATTTAAGCAATTTTGGAAGTAAAGTCTGATGATCCAGAACCCTGCTAAAGGGGTTATGGTGAAATAGCTTATTACATGGAATCTTAACGTGGTCTCTCTTTTATTCAAACATATCTGCTCTGAATTTTACATTGAGCTCTCTGGATATCATCCTCCTCGGGTCTACCCATACGGATTACCTAAGTTTGCATAAACTATATATATATATATATATATATATATATATATATATATATATATATATATACACCTTTTTCCACAGTTATGAAGCTTTTCAATATTTGCAGCATACTATTTTTCACATTCCAGAGTACATTATGGCAATAAAATAATAGGAAGAAGATACATTTTTATTTTATATACAGATATTTTTTGCCTCTACATGGCAAATATAACAAAGTTTTAATGTGGACCTCATTGACATTTGCCAAAAGCATTAGAGCATACTCCTGACCCTTCCCTATTAGTGCTACCTATGAGATGAATCTCCAGGAACTTGGTTTTCTCTCATTATTAGAAGGGTTCCTGACCACAAATTATCAAGAACTTTTCATATCATTCAGTCTCTCTCTCTCTCTCTACACGCCTACCCACACAATATCTAAACCCATATACAGAAAGACTTATCTATCTCTACAAAAAGAGAAAAGAACACATTTCTATATAAATCTAAAACTATTTACTAATGTACAAAAATAAATGAAGAGACTGTCATAAAATATTTTTCAACAAACTTTTTTTTTTAAATTTACCCATGTTAAAAATCAGCATTCAAAATCCTGGCTTTGGACCTGGGTTTGAACACACAACCCTCTAAACCAAGAGGCAGGCCCATTTTCTGTACATGCATATTACAATATGGCTGCTTCAGAAGAACACAAACCATTGACAAATGTAATGTCTCCATTCATAATGTAAAACGTGCAAATGGCATTAAATTAATTCAAACCTGTTCCATAAAGAAGCCATAATCTGCAACAATCCCCAAGCTTTAATGTGTTCTGGGAAATCATTATGTCTCACAGAAATCCTAGTAATAGCTATTCATTAAAAAAAACATAATAATTTTATGTTGTTTATGATTTGCCTCTAAGCAAATAATTCTTGTATTATAGAAATTTAATTTTTAACTAAAATTTGAGAGAATTTTGGTTGAGATTCAAAAGTAATAAAAAGGAACATTTTACAGTGTACTAGACACACGAGAAACTTAACTTGAAGGGCTTAAAATATATGAATGCAAAAATTTACATTTTACAATTTAATATGTATTTTGTTTTATTTTTAAAATTGCTTTATAGTTGCAAGATTCTTGTCTATATTTATTACAATGGAAAGAGATTTATTATAAATTCATAGTTAATATACTAAAATTAAACAATTTGCTACCAATTTTCACATGAGCTAATCATTGTATTTTCAGAGTATTTTCTTTCCCCTACATTTCTAAGTAAGTGGAGGCAGTACCAAAACCCAAGACATCAAGAATACCTTAGTACTTTCAAAGGCATTTTATAAGATCAATCTGCCTGGAAATTTAATATTTTCATACATCTTTTTATAACTCTGCTTGTCCCTCCCCTTAGTTAGCGTGACTGTTACACTTAGCAAATACATCATAAATAACGAACTATTCTGCTTTGATACATGGAAAGATAGAAAGAACATATCAGAAATGCTACTTGGTTTCAGTGAGAAAATGAATGAAAGAAAGAGGGGAAGATAGAAGTGTTTAATGGCTGTTTCAGTGAAATGAAAAAAGTTGTCAGTTTTGAATATTTTTATTTGTGCCCCCTTACTTCTTAAAATAATGACCAGTATTCATATTTATGATTGTTATTGCAATATTTTGTTAAAATTTTAACAATGTGATAGAGCAATTTCTACAAATATTTTATTATTGTTAGTATTGTGATCAAGTTCTTGAATCAAGGGAATCACTTCAAAAGTACCTAACATGAGGCCGGAGTGAGGAATTAGTCTTCAGCTTTACACAATGGAAACCTTGCCTTTTTTATTTGATTGTTTATATCAAATTTATTTCCTTCATTTTGATTGATAATCAACAAAAATTAAAAACATCAAAAATGTCAGTATTTTAGTACACATGTACTAAAACATTTTTGGTACCACCCCCACCCTGTTTAGGTTGGTCATTCTTAAGTCTTTCAGAGATAGATAAAATAATCTAGTTTTATTATATTATTATATAAGGTTATTTAAAGATCACTCACCAAATAGTATATACATTCTCTATTTAAAGTTAACAAAGCAATTTACAATAGTAGAGGCACTATTTCTACCTAAAGATTTCTAATATTGATTATCTGAACAGTTGTAGCTAAAATAAATGCCATGTTTTGTATACAAGAAACTGCATAGAAATTCTATTTGCTGTAAAAAGGTAAATATTCTTATTTTGTTATAAAATAAACTGAACCCAGATTTGAAAATTACCAAAAAGGATGTTTCAGGTAAAATGTATCAATAAATGTACACAAATTTTATGAAAAAATCTGAAATAATTAATGAACATTTAATATTATATATTCATATAGAAAATAGTATTTAGATGGGAACCAGTTTCCAGTGCCTATTTTAGCTAGAAATTTTGAATGTAAATAAATTTTCTTTAGCTTTTAATTTTTGTAGAGGTTTCTTCCATTGCCTTAAATATAGAATCATTAAATTAGGTTTAAGAATTATTATTGTTTTTCAAATCACCAATCATTTATGAAAGAAAAACATCTGACAATAAATTCTTTATAAAGTTGAATTTGAAAACTCTTTTCTAGGAAGACAGTAATCATCACTGCAAAGTGATTGATGAGACAATTGAATATAACTTTGGATGGATAATCAGTTATTAAATGAGATATTCTGAAGAAAAGATAATATATAGATGTTTAAAAGTCAAGATAAAAATCAGAGCCATGTTTTTCTTTTAAGTTGAATAAATTACATGCATATAGGGAAAAATTATTGCATGGTTCACTTATTATCTTGACAAGATACACAATTTGTTATGAAGCTGTCATCAGTAATGGTCAAAACAGTAATGAAAAAAAGAAATATGCTTTTGGAAATATGGAAGAGATAAATATATTTTTGTAATAATAAATTACTTCATTGAAAAAAGGTAGAAGGTGAAAAAGTACGAGAAAAATAAAGTAAATTAATGTAGAAAAAAGAATGAGAGAAAGAGAATTTAAGATGAAAAAGAAGAAAAATGATAATGATATACATATGTGTACAATTCTTGATCTTTGTACAAGAAACAATTTATGTGATTTGTGTAAAAGTTGATCCAAGTTTCTGGGGTTAACTCAACAGACTAGGCTAATGAAACATCATACCTTATAGCAGTGGTTCCCAAATGGTGTGGCATGCCTCATAGGTAGAGCAGCAGAGGATAACAGGTGAAGTGAAATAATTGAAAGACAATCAAAGATTCAGAAACATTTTCAAAAAATTCATATGATAAAAATAAATATGATTTCAAAATTTAAAATATGACTATGTATTACTTGCAATTGCATGCATGAGTCCCAGTATAAACAGTTATAAATAATTAGTGATCGATTTTATCACTGTGATATTTTTGTATTATATCATGTATTAAGAATATAGTAACAAGGCTCCGCAAATTGGAGGAGAGAGTTATCAATGATAATGTTCTGTTATCTCTCTTTAACCCTCTCTTTGTTTTTTATTTTTAAATGTACTTTTTATCACATAAAATTTGGTGAGGTGTGAGCAAATTTTCACTGCAAAAATGCAGACCGGAGAAAAAAAGTTTAGGAACCACTGCCTTATAGCATAATTCTGAGAGATAGTGGCCTAAAGAACTGAACATCAAAGGTAAACGTAAAATATCATGCAACCTTTTTCCCACAGATGCAATACTACAAGCCTGTTGCTAGTCTGTTGTTATTTCCATGGTAAATGTTCAGATGAGCTCCATTCTTTAGTTCCACCAGTTCAGACCTTTACTGCAAAGGCATACCATGCTACTTCCATATCGTCAAATCACTCTTATTCCTTCCATGTTACAATTGTAAAAAGGAAGTTACACTCAGACAGCTTTTTCTCAAGAACTGCCACTTTATGGAACAGACTCCTGCATAGGTGCTTCCCAGACACTTTAATCTTGACCTCTCCAATTGTTATCTGTCCTCTTTAGCCTTTAGAAATGATTTCTGTCTAAATAGCAAATATTTTTCATTTCTGAAGATCAACATTATTGCTAGCCCTTCTGATTGCACATGGATTTTGAAGCATTTACCCATGTACAGGATAACCCTAGAAGGAGTAGTTAGTGGTGGGGAAAGAGAGGAAGAGGAGTGATGGTGGTGTGAAAGAGAGACAAGTGAGAAGAGAGAATGAGTACTGGATAAATAGAGAGGTGGAGGAAGAGTAGTGGTGGTATGAGAGAGAGAAAAGAGAATGAATACTGGGAAATGGTGAGGAAATAGAAGAGGATGAGTGGTTGCGGTGGTGGTGTGAAAGAGAGAAAGAGATGGAGTACTGGAAGAAATAGAGACAAGGAGGAGTAATGGTGGTAAAGAGGGAGTGGTAGGATGAATAAAAGAGAGAGAGAAGGAGTGGTGGGAAAAGAAGAGAGAGAAATTGGATGAGAAATGCAACATAGAATAAAATAAGAATGTAAATAACAGTAAGATTAGAAATAAAGAGGTTTGTCTGGTCATCATGATTTTGGTAGCCAAGGTGATATTGGTAGTGATAATGGTATTGCCATATGACATGACATGCTCCTTGTTATAAAAATTCATGTTTAATTTCATGTTATTCTTTAGTTTTGAATTCTTGAAATTTGGCAGTCAAATTAGCAGTCAGATTAGCTAAAAATGTTATGGCAAAGTTAAAAAAATGAAAAAAAACTTATCAAATATAGAAAAAAAGAGAAATCAAGAAAATAGTTTATCACAAAATCTCAAATGATTTGAAGTATAAAGAACATTTTTATAATAAGTTATAAGAAATCCACAACTTTAAAAATGGTTGAAATTGATACAAGATTTGTTGTTTACAGCTTATCAACCCTCTGTGCACTATTTAAAGACAAAAACATTTTTGATTGTAAAAATAATTCTTTTTTTGGCGAGTGGATATTGCATCAAAAATTTCTTTGGAGGCTAACAATGATTTTTTTAGCTACAGGTCTCACTATTTAACTCATATCTGAGGAGAGAAGAGATGGGGTTATAACTATCCCCAGTATTTGCATGTAAGTGAATATAATGAACTTGACTTGAATTTGAACTCAGCTTTCAAATTTCTCATTCTGAGTTGTTATCAATTACACCACCTGCACATTCCTCAAAATGAATGAGAATATGGTCAAATAATAAAAGCATCGAATTGAACAGACATTTTTCTCATGTAAATTCATATTTCCATAAATCATCTGAAAGAGGTCAAAACATTTCAAAATATAAATAGCAATTTATGTGTCAGACTACAAATTCAGAATTGACTTCTTTTTTCATGTTTTTTTTTAATATCTATTTTTAAGGTTTTGAAATGTTTTCCAAAACATTCTCAGTTCAATTCTCATTAATGAATTAATCATTTAACAAATTTTGCAAATACTTCATGTGCAGTAACATAAATTTTGTATAAAAATGAAAGCTAAAGTTAATGGGATCACATATGACAACAGTTTGTATTAACAATGTAACAACTACACATTAGGGTGGATCAATAAGTCCATACCTTGAATTTGATCTTAAATTTTCACTGTGTAATGTTTGATCTATACAATTAATATTCATCAATGGACTATGTATAATAATTCCATTGTTATAAACAGATCTACATATACAAATGCATAGGAAAAAAAAGAGAGTTGTAGCATTAATTTATGAGTGACCATCACATATATCACAGCAGCTGGATATTTCTTGTAACAAGTCTTCTTCTTAAATGCCCAATGATAGTCAAGTTAAAGGTTTATTTGCTTTTCAAATGTACAAGGACTAAGAAAATAAAATTGATCCAATAATTAGTTTTTTCTTTTTAGAAAATGAAATGAAATCCTAAATTAGTTTAAAAAGCTGTATGAACCCACCATCATAACTTAATGTCAAAAAAAAAAAATCTGATATTGAATATAAAAGGCTCCAAAATCATTAATGTCCTTCTGGATGGTGACATAGTGGACATAGGAGTTAGTTATACATGTGCTACTATCATCTAGTGGCCATAATATGTATCTTTGTGTTTGGTAGTAAAGCACCAATTCAGTATGAATAATAACTGATATCACTGGGACAAAATATCACAATCAAAAGGGTATCTCATATCAGCCAATCAATGAATATCTGATGAAGACAAAAGAGTACTCAATTGAGATGTGTTCATATCAACAAAGATGAGAACAATAGTTTTAAATATTAATATTTTTTTTTTTTTTTTTTTAAAAAGGTGGAGAGATTTTTTTTATGATGGTTTTGTTTTGTGGCATATCGACTTCAATAGGTTATTTAAGGCCAACAAGATTTTTACAATAGATTCCTATGAATAGAATATGTATTCTTTGTAAGGAAATAGTTTGTACATTCAGTTTCATTGATATATTTTGTAAAGACGGTTTTTGTCGAGAGTCTGGTTTCATTCATGTATTCTTTTCAGATATACAGTTTGTAGAGAAATTGATTTTGATATTCTCATTTGGTTTATAGTTTTTGGTTTGGGGCACATCAACCTCAATGGGTTATTTAATGGCAACAAGATTTTTATTGCCGGTAATATTTTTTTCAAAAATGTATTGCTGGTTCTATATGTCATGACATTTTTTTTTTTTTTTTTTTTTAGTGGTGTTATCTTCAAAGTTCATGCTTTCTATTGGATTATTTTTGGAATCCTTGGCTTTGTCCCTTGTATTTTCTTCCAGCCAATCTTCTGAGTTTGTCTTGGAATTTTTTGGTCTTCGTTCTCATCTTCAGTTTCCATACTTTCCAGTACTGTAGATTTATTCTCGTTTAGGATCTTATTTCTTTGTCTTAAAAGGGATATCGATCATGTGGTTTCATGTTCTATTGATGATTATTTTTTTGTTTTTTGGTTTGTTTTTCGTTTTCTTAGTCTGGGTTTGGGATTTGAGATGGGTTAGCGATAGGCTTTCATTGTCATCTAATTTTTGGGGTGAAGAATTGTTGGGTTTGATACTGATAGTAGGGATGTTTAAAATTTGTTGTTGTTGGGTTTGACTTTTTGTTTGATTTGTTTTTATTGAGTCTTCAGCTTTGTTGGTCTAGGGTTGGAGGTTTTTCTTTGGATCTAGTTCAGCATGAGACCTGGTTGTAAGTCAGTCAAGCTTTCCTTCGGTAACTCCAAAAGTATCTTCAGTTCCTTCATTAAATCTATCATTTCGTTTTGGGTCATTCCTTGATTTGGGGTATAGTTGTTCATGGTTTTGGCAATGCTTGCATAAGTTGTAGCCACTGAAATCTCAACTAACCTCCTTGCTTCTGGGATTTATATATTTTTTTGTGTATTTAATTTCTGTTATTTTTACCTTATTCCACATTTGGCATTGCATGATCTTGTTGGAAGTTTACACACTTTGGTGGTTGCCTGCAGTCTGTATGGTTTTCAGTTTCACCGCAGTTTTTGCATGTTGTTGGTCTGGTACATCTCTCCTTGTGGTGACTGAATTTTTGGCAATTGCGGCATCTCAGCAGGCTTGGTATATATGTTTCGACTTTGTTCATTGTGTACTCTATTTTTATTTCAGTTGGAAGTTTTGGGATGTTAAATTGAAATATATGTGTTTGTTAGGAATGTTTGGTGGTTTTCTTTTTTTTATAGACATCCTTTGGACATTAGTAAAGCCTTGTTGGCAGAGGTTATTTTTTATTTCATCCAGAGTGCAGAGGGAGAGATCTAGGCCTCTCACTACACCCTTTGATGAGCTGGTGGGTAAGCTTTTATTTTGAGGTTATGGAAGTGTTTCTGTTTAAGTAGAAGATCTGATAAAGTTTTTTTGGTACTTCTACCAGTAGAGTATTGTGGATTAGTTTTTTTGACCGATTTTAGTTTTATTAGAGAGCTAAGAGTTTTTCAGCCATAAAGTGAGACAACTTAGTGATTGGAGTATCCTCCATTGATTTACTGAGGAAAAGTGTCTGATCAGAGTCATCATCTGAGTCACACTTTGCATGTAGATGCATTCAGGTTTGATTTATTTATATTTGCTTGGGATTTATTTTTTATATCCATAAAAAGGTCTATGGGTTTCATTGACTATGCTCCCCACCCACCATGGAGCCCCATGCGGTAATGTGTCTAGTGGGAAACCCATTCTCCTAATAATATCAGGGCTACATAGTCAATATACTCATGCTGGTGATAATCAGTTTTGTTTCTGCCCCTGGGTTTTCATAACTACTTACCCAGAAACAGAAAGGGTATGAGTTCTTCCTCAGCATAATTGACCCTACAGCCATCACTCTCATATTCAGATTTTTATAAAAATCTGAAAAGGGCTGACATGACCAGCCGATTTATTGGATGGGGCTGCTCCAATCTCCTGTCTAGCCTAGTAAGAGGCAAAGTGGAGTGTTGAAAGTTACCTGATCACTATCAATCCTGGGTCATATACTGCTCAGCCACCAGGATCCTGTCCTGAGACCTTATGGGTTGCCACCTACGGCCAGAGGTGCAGTCAGTGTATTCTTACAACCCCAACCAACAGGGCTGTTTTTTTTATGTAGTACATTTTTGTTCAACTGGGAATTGCATTTTTACAGGAAAAAAATATATTCTAGTGTCTACTGTAGCACAACAGTTAACTTTTCCTGCAAACCGATTCCTTTTTGTAGGAACTTCAATCTTCATTAAATGGCCTACAGCTGCAGCTTTTTTCGTTTTTTTAACACTATGTCTCTTTATAATTTTAGGTCGCTACAACTTTTCTTTAATATATGTAAATCAGGAATGACAATGTTCTTGAGAATGGCAGTGGAGTGGTTTTTCCATTGCTTTCAATATATTTTTGAATCCAGAGTTCTCTTTATCCTTCTCCTAAAATGGTTGCCATACTAAGGCTAAAGAGTTCTACTATTTTATGCACAGTTATGGAAGAGTAAAGAGATAAATTCCTGCCTTTTCCAAAGTGAATTGTTTTAAAGCCATGTCTCTTGAGAACATAAGTGATCATGATTCTCTTTTTCTATGATTTGCCATGCATTCTTGGGCAAGATTGTGGATTGATTTCCCATTGCCTTTTCCACAGTTTCCAATTTATTTTCCTTCTTTTAGACTGTTTACCATCCAAAGATAGAGAGTCTGATCTACCCTGCTATTTAACTTCTATCGGTAGGGAGGGGAGGGATATTGACGAATCTTAAATTATATTGTTTTTATAAATGTCACTTCTTGTTGTGTCGGAAACCTACCACCCCTCTTGAAGATGAACTTGTCTGCGTCTGTGAACAAAGACTTTAAATAGTGGCATGTCAGTTGACATGAGGGAAGACAGATAGACCGAGAAGTCTTAGTTGAGCTAGTTATTGACTACTCCGTCGATTTCTGTACCTTTTTACCAACCTATTAAAACCCTTTTTATTGTTACGTGTTATTTGGCGTTTGTCTCTACTAACCCCAAATCAACATCATAACACTT